TACAGCGGCTGCTTGTCCTCCGTGTGGCCGCGGTAGAAGCATTCTGTGAACGCCAAGCAGGGGCCGTGGTCCAGGGGACAGGGGGATAATAACACCGGGCATGTGGGAGAAAGTAGCGGGGGTAGACATCCACAGGGAACACGGGAGACGCGGGAGAGCCGCGGGAATAAAAACACATCGCTTTTCGCGTTCACTGCCTTTACCAACAGTGATGATGAGGATCAAGGCAGTTCTTGAGAGAAAATAATCCACAAAAGTGGATCAGAAGTGTTGAAGAGCCTGTTGTTTCTTGTTGAGATGATCTGACATGTTCTGAGCCCATTCATTTCATCTCTCTGTTTCTAAACCATAAATCCAGGAGCCTCATTTCCACCGAGAAAAATAGTAAGCCCACCACTTCTTTGAAAGGGAAATATTGAAACCAAACTCCAGATTTCATGACTGTAAACTATAAAGAGAGCTGTCTTGATCACTGAAGGTCTTTGAAAATAATACAATTCCGTATGGCCGCGAACCAGTGCTAAAACATTATCTATAATCTGGATCAGGGAATTTATTTCTATCCCAAATTCATTTCATACTAAAGATATTTCACACTGACTGTTTATAGTATTCCCTGATCTAAAAAAAACTCCCAAACTACAGCTTTTTGAAGTTTTTATACAATAATTAACATTTTCCAAAATGGCCGCCACCTTGATGACGTCACAATATGCAAATTAGACGACGAATCAACTTCCATCCCAAAGTTTGGTTCAAACTGAAGATATTTCTAATTTACAGTATGCCTTTATCTCAAACCATTTTAAAGTTATAGCCTTTTGAAATCTTGAAATCAAAATTGTATATTTTCTTGAAAAAACTCTGGCGCCTAAAGGGTTAAGCAAATGTAAACACTGCAAAGATTGTGGCGCTACTCCCCACGGGCTTCGTTAGCGGCAAAGGAGATGGCTAAAGCTAGGCTAAATGCTAACGACTCACTCGGGCTCATTACAAACGTCACAGTAATCTCAGATCCAATGGTTTCAATCTGCAAAAGGAGTTAACCCCTCCCACCTGTTCACGGAGTCTATGGAGCAAACCCAGACCTTAGTACAAATGAAATGAGTACTATGGTGTGGTACGACCAGGCTAGTGTTGAAGCATTTACAGCTAGCAAAGAAACATAGCTACTATTTATTTTGTGTGCTCCCTGTGTGCTCTTACAGTAGGTCCCATTCCGTTTTGTCGCCTTTCACGCGTGAATCATACGAGACTCACGTGTGATTCACGCGTCTTTTATTTTCCCCCCTCCCAGTGACGTTGCAATGACCAAAACAACCACCAGGTGGCACTTGTGAGCAGGGTTACATTGGCGAGTTTCTGCCCCGCGCACATCGACAATCTGGTTAAAACGGGCAACTCCTTGTAGCAGGCCAGTCTCTGGAATAACCCGCAGACATTAAAACTACTGCATATAACGTAAACTTTTGCATCACGTTGGTGATCTTTCCAAAAAGAGAGAATATCGTTATGGAAAGAGAAACTATTGGTAATATAACGCTGAACGTTATCTGACTCAAACAGCTCCGCTGGTGTCTCCTCCCACTCAGAAAAAAAGCAGACGCCTTTTCTCTGGCATCTCTAACATTTATAATAAATACATAAATATAACAAGAGTAGAGTAGCTTTTGATTAGTATTTATTATTTATTATTGCTTTTTAGTACATCTATTTATGTTTTTAGACACATTCTATTTGTATTTATTTTTATCATTTACTATTTTTAATTATTTATTGTATCTACCCATTTACTATTGTTATTATCAATATTAGGCAGCTGCCATTTTTCTTTTTATTGTCACATTTTATTGTTAAATATACAATATATAATGGAAACACTTATTTCGATATAGCGGAGGAAGCCGAGCTGAGCTTTATTCAGTGAGTTTTGGCTGCGCTTCGTGTGGAGACTTGGGAGATACGTGGGAGAGGCATGGGGGAGAGACGGGGGAGAGACGGGGGAGAGGCATGGGGGAGAGACGGGGGAGAGGCATGGGGGAGAGACGGGGGAGAGGCATGGGGGAGAGACGGGGGAGAGGCATGGGGGAGAGACGGGGGAGAGACGGGGGAGAGGCATGGGGGAGAGACATGGGGGAGAGACGGGGGAGAGGCATGGGGGAGAGACGGGGGAGAGGCATGGGGGAGAGACGGGGAAGAGACGGGGAAGAGACGGGGGAGAGACGGGGGAGAGGCATGGGGGAGAGACGGGGAAGAGACGGGGGAGAGGCATGGGGGAGAGACGGGGAAGAGACGGGGAAGAGACGGGGGAGAGACGGGGGAGAGACGGGGGGGAGACGTGGGAGAGGCATGGGGGAGAGACGGGGGGAGAGACGGGGGAGAGAGACGGGGGAGAGACGGGGGAGAGACGGGGGGGAGACGTGGGAGAGGCATGGGGGAGAGACGGGGAAGAGACGGGGGAGAGGCATGGGGGAGAGACGGGGGAGAGGCATGGGGGAGAGACGGGGAAGAGACGGGGAAGAGACGGGGGAGAGGCATGGGGGAGAGACGGGGAAGAGACGGGGGAGAGGCATGGGGGAGAGGCATGGGGGAGAGACGGGGGAGAGACGGGGGGGAGACGTGGGAGAGGCATGGGGGAGAGACGGGGAAGAGACGGGGGAGAGGCATGGGGGAGAGACGGGGGAGAGGCATGGGGGAGAGACGGGGAAGAGACGGGGAAGAGACGGGGGAGAGACGGGAGAGACGGGGGAGAGACGGGGGGGAGACGTGGGAGAGGCATGGGGGAGAGACGGGGAAGAGACGGGGGAGAGGCATGGGGGAGAGACGGGGGAGAGGCATGGGGGAGAGACGGGGGAGAGGCATGGGGGAGAGACGGGGAAGAGACATGGGGGAGAGACGGGGAAGAGACGGGGGAGAGACGGGGGAGAGGCGGGGAAGAGACGGGGGAGAGGCGGGGGAAGAGACGGGGGAGAGGCATGGGGGAGAGACGGGGGAGAGACGGGGGAGAGGCATGGGGGAGAGACGGGGGAGAGGCATGGGGGAGAGACGGGGAAGAGACGGGGGAGAGGCATGGGGGAGAGACGGGGGAGAGACGGGGGAGAGGCATGGGGGAGAGACGGGGGAGAGACGGGGGAGAGGCATGGGGGAGAGACGGGGGAGAGACGGGGGAGAGGCATGGGGGAGAGACGGGGGAGAGACGGGGGAGAGGCATGGGGGGGAGACGGGGGAGAGGCATGGGGGAGAGACGGGGGAGAGGCATGGGGGAGAGACGGGGGAGAGGCATGGGGGAGAGACGGGGGAGAGACGGGGGAGAGGCATGGGGGAGAGACGGGGGAGAGGCATGGGGGAGAGACGGGGGAGAGACGGGGGAGAGGCATGGGGGAGAGACGGGGGAGAGGCATGGGGGAGAGACGGGGGAGAGACGGGGGAGAGGCATGGGGGAGAGACGGGGGAGAGGCATGGGGGAGAGGCATGGGGGAGAGACGGGGGAGAGACGGGGGAGAGGCATGGGGGAGAGACGGGGGAGAGGCATGGGGGAGAGGCATGGGGGAGAGACGGGGGAGACAGGCAAGACCCGTGTCTATGGTTCTGTGCGCGCGTCTATGGTCCGCGCTCGGTACATGACCACGGCGTTCGCGGAGCTGTCAAAACAGCCACAGTTTCTCCCGGGGTCAGAGGTCAGAGAGGATGAGAGCCGCAGCAGAAGTCAAGACATTAATATATCTCACGTAAATCAAAGTGTTGGTTACTTCTGTTGCCATGTTGACGTACTAGAAACTAGTGAATAAACGCGCGAAAATAGTGTATACTTATTCGAATATGTCTTAATGGAAACGGCCGCTTTTGCGAATTACAGGTTTTTCAAATTTTGAAATGTATCGAAAAAGTTTTTGCGCATTATTCAATGGAAACGCAGCTAATGAGATTTTCAGCCAAGTGCAAGACGCAAAAGAAACGCACATGAACTTTGCTCAATTCAATGTGTTTTTGTACAAGCAGCAGTCGTTATCTCTCAGAGGACTTTGCCAACACAGGTCAGAGGTCACAAATCAGAGGTCAGAGGTCACATCAGAGGTCACACAGAGGTTTTTCAAGACACAGGCCCAAACACCAAACATCTTCAGGAGTTCCACGCTTTGGAATTCAAGTTATCAATCCTCTTTAGTGTTAGTACTGCTATTTAAACATAGATTAAAAACATAGAATAATGGGGTTTACTGAGAGATGTACCGACATGGAATAGTAAATCTGAAACAGTTTGTCTGCAGTGAAGACCAAAGGTTATTTATAGATTACACAGATAATGAAGTAGTAGCATTAGTGTAATTTATTTCAAATGTTATGCAAAAAAAATAAAAACAAGAAGCAAAATAAAAAAATACAATGTTTGAAAAGGAGGCTGGACGAACATTTGGCTCCAACCCGTCACTCATCCAACACAACCCACACAATCAGACACACGCAACACACACACACACACGCAACACACACACACACACAACACAGGCACAACACACGACCAGACACAGGCCCAAACACTCTCTGACCACACACCCTCTACCTGCTCTGTGCTGAAGTCCTCACACTCCTGCAGCACAGAGTCACTCCTTGCACAGACACACACTGATTTTAAAGTAGTTCTACATTTAAGGCATGTATAAGTTTTGGCTTCCTCTGTAACTGTAGCTGTGGTTGCGGTTCATGAGGTGCAGAGAGTTTTCAGAGGCCCCTGAACAGCTCTCTCTGCTCACCCTCCCCTCACTCACGGAGCCTTCGCCCCCCACTCAGCCTGTGCTAATGTTCTAATTGTTTACGGAGCTCAAGTCTCACATTGATGACACATTTGAACGTGGCGTGACCAGAATGATAGAACCAGGAAGTGCGGAGGACAAGACTTTCTTTTGTCTGTTTCTCTGAGTAAGCAGTAACCACAAAGACACAGAAGTTTCAGGTTAGCCTCCGCCGCTTGTTTACCTCAGACCTGTCTGTGCTAACCTCAGTCCTGTCCGTGCTAACCGCAGACCTGTCTGTGCTAACCTCAGACCTGCTGTGCTAACCACAGACCTGTCCGTGCTAACCGCAGACCTGTCTGTGCTAACCACAGACCTGTCCGTGCTAACCACAGACCTGTCCGTGCTAACCACAGACCTGTCTGTGCTAACCACAGACCTGTCCGTGCTAACCACAGACCTGTCTGTGCTAACCACAGACCTGTCCGTGCTAACCACAGACCTGTCCGTGCTAACCTCAGACCTGTCCGTGCTAACCTCAGTCCTGTCCGTGCTAACCACAGACCTGTCTGTGCTAACCTCAGACCTGTCCGTGCTAACCACAGACCTGTCTGTGCTAACCACAGACCTGTCCGTGCTAACCTCAGACCTGTCCGTGCTAACCACAGACCTGTCCGTGCTAACCTCAGACCTGTCTGTGCTAACCACAGACCTGTCTGTGCTAACCACAGACCTGCTGTGCTAACCACAGACCTGTCTGTGCTAACCACAGACCTGTCCGTGCTAACCACAGACCTGTCCGTGCTAACCACAGACCTGTCCGTGCTAACCACAGACCTGTCCGTGCTAACCACAGACCTGTCCGTGCTAACCACAGACCTGTCCGTGCTAACCACAGACCTGTCCGTGCTAACCACAGACCTGTCCGTGCTAACCACAGACCTGTCCGTGCTAACCACAGACCTGTCCGTGCTAACCTCAGACCTGTCTGTGCTAACCACAGACCTGTCTGTGCTAACCACAGCCCTGTCTGAGCTAACCTCAGACCTGTCCGTGCTAACCACAGACCTGTCCGTGCTAACCGCAGACCTGTCCGTGCTAACCTCAGACCTGTCTGTGCTAACCTCAGACCTGTCTGTGCTAACCACAGACCTGTCTGTGCTAACCACAGACCTGTCCGTGCTAACCACAGACCTGTCCGTGCTAACCGCAGACCTGTCCGTGCTAACCACAGACCTGTCTGTGCTAACCACAGACCTGTCCGTGCTAACCACAGACCTGTCCGTGCTAACCACAGACCTGTCCGTGCTAACCACAGACCTGTCCGTGCTAACCACAGACCTGTCCGTGCTAACCACAGACCTGTCCGTGCTAACCGCAGACCTGTCCGTGCTAACCACAGACCTGTCTGTGCTAACCACAGACCTGTCCGTGCTAACCACAGACCTGTCTGTGCTAACCTCAGACCTGTCCGTGCTAACCACAGACCTGTCCGTGCTAACCTCAGACCTGTCCGTGCTAACCACAGTCCGTGCTAACCACAGACCTGTCTGTGCTAACCACAGTCCGTGCTAACCGCAGACCTGTCCGTGCTAACCACAGACCTGTGGCTTTTCTCAAGAAAGTGGGGGCCAGTGGTCCGCTGTGATTGGTCACAATCTGGACCAGAAACACATTCTCTTCCTTGTTTCACCAAAACTTGATCTAAAATAAAATGACACTCCAGAACAAATCTGCCCTAATTATTCTTCAAAAGGACGAATGTCCCGATGCACTGCACAAACATGAGTTGGATTTAACTCATGAATACAAAAATAAAGTCAGGTAATGCAGCTTTAAAGTAAATCAGGTCCTGAAGTGTCATGTGATCAAATTAATACAAAAGTTAGCCCTAACTCTAACCTAAAATTGAAGAAAATCGTGTTAATGAAATGAAACTTTTAGGTTTTATGTCAGGCTGGTTGTGAGTGATATGACTGTGACGAGAGACGCCGGTGCATCAGTCTGACTCAGGGCAGCTGTGGCTACAATAGTGCTACTGGGAAATGTCTTTTCTGAAGCCCCAGATTTTATATCATTTCATTGTAAAGGTCGCCTTGAGTGTCGTAAAAGGCTCTGTGTCTTGTCATGATTCTCGTTTGTTTTTGTTCATTTTCTTCCAGTTTGAACATTATTTAAATCTTTCATTCACACATTTACACATTTAATCTGGACTGGGACTCGACCTGGATCTGAGCAAAGACCAAATTAGAGTCGACACCAGGACTAAACCGAGACCACAGGTTTAACGGAAGGATAGACACCATTTATTATATTCTGCAGTGAAGTCAGAATGTTGAGGCTTAAGCAGAGACCAGACGATCCAGTGACGGGATGAGCAGCCGGAGAGTGGGCCGACCAAAGCCGGACTCAGACCTGCTCCAACCTAGCCTGGTCTTACCCTAACATAGTACTAATTTCATTTTGTTAACAGGTGGGTGGGGTTAACTCCCTTTGCAGATTTAAAAGATTGGATCTGAGTTTACTGTGACGTGTGTAATGAGCCCGAGTGAGTGAGGCACTTAGCATTTAGCCTAGCTTTAGCATTTAGCCTAGCTTTAGCATTTAGCCTAGCTTTAGCCATCTCCTTTGCCACTAACGAAGCCTGTGGGGAGTAGAGCCACAACATCCTGTCTCACATTTTGAGGATAATGTTGCAGATTTTAGCTGCATAAATCAGGAATTATGCCTCTCCATTTTCAGTCCTAACTCTGGGCAACAGCAGGAGGCCAGTCCCTGTGCTCCTCAGAGTCCCAGCAGGAGGCCAGTCCCTGTGCTCCTCAGAGTCCCAGCAGGAGGCCAGTCCCTGTGCTCCTCAGAGTCCCAGCAGGAGGCCAGTCCCTGTGCTCCTCAGAGTCCCAGCAGGAGTCCAGTCCCTGTGCTCCTCAGAGTCCCAGCAGGAGGCCAGTCCCTGTGCTCCTCAGAGTCCCAGCAGGAGTCCAGTCCCTGTGCTCCTCAGAGTCCCAGCAGGAGGCCAGTCCCTGTGCTCCTCAGAGTCCCAGCAGGAGTCCAGTCCCTGTGCTCCTCAGAGTCCCAGCAGGAGGCCAGTCCCTGTGCTCCTCAGAGTCCCAGCAGGAGGCCAGTCCCTGTGCTCCTCAGAGTCCCAGCAGGAGGCCAGTCCCTGTGCTCCTCAGAGTCCCAGCAGGAGGCCAGTCCCTGTGCTCCTCAGAGTCCCAGCAGGAGGCTAGTCCCTGTGCTTCTCAAAGTCCCAGCAGGAAGCAAGTCCCTGTGCTCCTCAGAGTCCCAGCAGGAGTCCAGTCCCTGTGCTCCTCAGAGTCCCAGCAGGAGGCCAGTCCCTGTGCTCCTCAGAGTCCCAGCAGGAGGTCAGTCCCTGTGCTCTTCAGAGTCCCAGCAGGAGGCCAGTCCCTGTGCTCCTCAGAGTCCCAGCAGGAGGCCAGTCCCTGTGCTCCTCAGAGTCCCAGCAGGAGTCCAGTCCCTGTGCTCCTCAGAGTCCCAGCAGGGGGCCAGTCCCTGTGCTTCTCAGAGTCCCAGCAGGAGGCCAGTCCCTGTGCTCCTCAGAGTCCCAGCAGGAGTCCAGTCCCTGTGCTCCTCAGAGTCCCAGCAGGGGGCCAGTCCCTGTGCTTCTCAGAGTCCCAGCAGGAGGTCAGTCCCTGTGCTCCTCAGAGTTCCAGTCCCTGTGCTCCTCAGAGTCCAGTCCCTGTGCTCCTCAAAGTCCCAGTCCCTGTGCTCCTCAGAGTCCCAGCTGGAGGGAGTGGCTTTAACATATCGCGGACATCCTGAACTTTCTAACCATATCCTTTGTATTTAACTTTTCATTTCCATTATGACATTATGCAAGAACTTAAGGAACCATCACGATAACGATGTCATTATTGCATCAAGGATTTCCCATAAAACACTGTACAAACCAGTCCCATTAAAACAGACCTGTCACACCTCACTCTACATTACTGACATGGAGCATATAAAGCCCACAGCTGGACCTGCTGCTTACACACAGCCCTCCTTCATTACACACCGGGCTGACACACTGACGGCGCCACACAATTACATGTGACAAGAGCACCTCATTCAGCCGACTGCTCACATGAGGAAATGAGAAAGGCTTTTTGACGGTTTCCAGCCGTACAGAGAGAATACTGCGGGTATCGTTGCATTAGCATGTGTCACTCGTCAAAAAGAAAGGGAGGAGTGAGTGATATAAAACAATGGAATCAGAGAAGCGCGAAAAAGTGCAAAACTGCGGCGGGAAAAGTGACGGTTTTGACTAATTTAATAAGTCATTTGGCTCTTTTAGAATGTGATGAGAGAGGTGTGAAGACATTTTTATGCATTTTACTGCTGAAAACATATGGCCTCGGCTTAGATAAAAGAAACAACAGGTATTTATAAGTTTGTCCATCAAGCTTTAAGACTAAAAAACATTTCAGTTTTCTTGGCTGGTATGTGCATTTAATAATAATAATAATAATGCATCGGTTTTATATAGCGCTTTTTGGACACTCAAAGACGCTTCACATGTGTCATTATTCATTCACTCCATACCCGGTGGTGATAAGCTACTACTGTAGCCACAGCTGCCCTGGGGCACACTGACAGAAGCGAGGCAACCAGTCTGTGCCATCGGCCCCTCTGACCACCACCAACCATTCACACACACACACCAGACTCATTCTAGGCAATGGGGGTGAAGTGTCTTGCCTAAGGACACAACAGCAGTTTGGCACTTTACAGCCGCAGCCGCCCCACTGTGGCTGGTGTTCCCAGAGGTTAAGTGTCTTGCCAAGGACACAACGACAGCAGACAGTGGGAGTCGATGGTGAAAGTCTTGAACAGGTCTTGAACCCATGACCTTCTGGCTCAAAGGCCAAGACTCTACCAACTGAGCTACTGCCGCCCTTTATAACTTTTTTAACTCTAATAATGTCAGAATGTGCAATATTGAACCACATCTGTTACTGTTGTAGTCACGACTTATACAGATGTTCAGTATACACACAACTATACCATCATGTACAGACTATAAGCCACAACTTTTTTCCTTAACAAAGCTCAATGGCGGGTGTTGTAGGTCGGTGTCTGTGACGTCAAGAGTTTGTGCTGAATTTGCTGGTTGTAGTTTGTCGGAGAATGCGATAGTCAAATAATCTGTTCTGGTTCAATCCAAATATCAAGAAACTGAAGCCGGAGCAAGAGGAATGTTTAGTAAATGTCACTGAAGCAAAGATGTTGTGGCTCTACTCCCCACGTGCTCCGTTAGCAGCAAAGGAGATGGCTAAAGCTAGGCTAATGCTAAAGCTAGGCTAAATGCTAAATGCCTCACTCACTCGGGCTCATTACATACGCCACAGTTAACTCAGATCTAATCGTCTCAATCTGCAAAAGTAGTTAAAGTAGTTTCCCTCCCACCTGTTAACGGAGTCAATGGAGCTAAACCAGACCTTAGTACAAATGAAATGAGTACCATGGTTGGACTAGGCTATGTCTGAATAGGTCCCTCGCAGACAATTTCAAGTCATTTTTTGCGGTGTGAAAGCTGTTTCTGAAAGCTGTCCCTCTCTCCACTCTTCCCTTGTTATCCTTCCCACTGTGGCTTCATTCTGATGTTTCTGACATTTATTAGGAAGCTCTCTCCTCGTCTGCACTGTAGGCCTGAGCCGCTGACATTTGTCAAAAGTCTCAAATCCAAAGAAGGAAAGTTTGTTCAAATATTAAAGCAACTCTAAATATCATGGCTCCAAACGGCCTCAGATTCTAGGAAATATCCCAGAAAAATAAAAGAGTTTCTGGACTAAGTGTGTTGATTGTGCATTACTGTCCCATTGGGAAGAAATAACACACTGTATTGTTGTAGGAGACCCCAAAGTCCCTGCCCCATGTTGACTGCCCGGGCTGTTTCTCTGTTACTTCTCCCTGTAATCATCCAACAGTCCATTATTGGTTCCCCAGTGGCTCCGGTACGATCTCTGGACCTCCAAGAAGGAAATCTAAGATAGGTCTGGGCTCCTTGCCGTTTACCATCTGCCTTTTTAGACGACGGATCTGGTGAGTTTTATTGACAGATGCAACTCTAAAATGGCAAAGATTCTAGTGTTGTACATCCAGGCCACTCGAGTACAACATTTATGACGTGTTATTGGAAATATCAAAGTGTCTGGCAGTTTTTGTTTCTGTTTATGGAGCTGATCAATGTTTGTACGAGAACTTTACGGGTGCCGTTAACTGCTCCCACAAACTGATACATGCCACACAATTCTGCTTCTTCCATTCTGTGTGGCCTTGGTTCTCGTTCTACAGTCTGAGTCTGGATCTATACAGCCCAGTTGTCTGTGGGTGTAGTCCCGTAGTCCACACGGGTGCAGAAGAAAAAACACATTTTAAAGAATTACAGTATAATATACAGGTGAGAACAAGTCTGTCTGGATCTTCACCACTGATCGAGCTCTCTGCTGAAGGTTCGGTCGTCTGTGCTTCTGGTTTCTTCCACTACATCTGGAGCCTTAAGGCTGCAGTCTGAGCAGATGGACTGTAACCTTCTGCCTTCAATTGTTCAAATCAAAAAGAACAACAATGTG